CTTATACTTGCATTTCCTAATTTTCTCAAATGTATCTCGACACCTACTGCATTTCTGTATTTGACTGTTTTTCTCTCCGTCCCTTCTCAACCTTAAATGCTGAGAAACGGTTAGGAAATTTTCAGATTTACACACAACATTCCTCTTAATTTATTCTCAATGCTTGAAGGGTGCAGCTTGCGCTTGTGGTGATTAAGATAATCACCTTCCAGTTGGGGGAATGGAAATTAGCTGTTCAGTGACTACAACACTCTACTTGGAAGATGATGGCATGACAACAGCAGTAGAATCTGATGGTGTCCAGGCATAGAAGAACAAGCCCATAACAAGAATGATTGCTCCTGCAACAAAGCCTGGTGGAAGGGAGGATGCGACTCCAAGGTATGGTAGTGGCATTGTGAACAGATACACTGATATTGGCACTGTCACAATAGATCCAGAGACAACTTTTTAGTTTTGATTAATATGCAGAATACAAACCAAAAAGAAAAAACAATATGGCATGAACATGGTGCCGATCAAAAAAAACAAAAACATGGCATGAACATGGGTTCTTTTGTGCAAGGACCCATGAAGTTGTTATCACAAGAACAGCACAATCAGATGAGTGGTCGTACCTTCTTCACCCTGTTAGACTGGTTAGACTAGTCAAAAGAAAATAGTTTCTAAAGAATAACTCTGTATTTAGAACTTAAGAGATATTATCCATTCCTTATTGTTAGCTCAAAGAAGAAGTCATTTTTTGCACAAACAAGACCACAGTGCATCAGCAGTTTTTAACAGAAATAAGACTTTCTTTCAAGAATATGTGAACCTTAGGGTGATCAAAAGGAAAAGATGAAAATTGATTATAGGGAACAACAAAGACATACCTGAAAACGTGGATGCAAGTGAAGATACCACAGCAGAGGATATCTTAATGAGATGTAGCAACGAGATGTTAAAGCCCATGTTGACAAAAACAAACAGCAAAGGTAGTAGTGGGGCACCATCACAACCTGTGGTTTGCCAGATCTCAAGTAACTCAGTAACAATGCTCCATTCAATACTAAATTTGGTTTTCAATTATTTTCTTAGATAGTAACAGTATCACAGTCTTGTGACATTTGGTTTTGGCCTAGTTGCCACAGAACTTAGTCAATTTTTGATAGGCCGTTTTGCCAAGATAGCTTAAATTTTAATTGGAATACCAAGAAATCCTCTATCATCTGCAAAACATTGTATCTTCATAACCATAGATGCTACTTTTCTCATCCACATTGGATACATCTATTCCTTATTTCATGCCAATTTTTCAAGTTTGTATATGATTTTTTGTAATATCCAGAAACTTTGAAGCATTAAATTCTAAACGGCTTCTCTCTTAAAATATCAGCAAATCCCATGGCCTATGTCCAACTTTTACCTCATAACGCGTTGATAACCAATCTGCATTGTATTTCCTCTACTACTGATGGAAGCCTAATCAGCTGGTATTTTATACCCTCTAAAGGCTGTACTAGTGATAGAAGTCCAAAATAACCACTCAAGTAGATTCAATTTTGACCTTTACAGAGGATGGTGGAAAAGCAAACGTTCATGGCTTACCACTTGATAAAGTTCCACCAATGTTCAAGAAGCAACCTGCACCATCTTTAAGATAGCTTGAGAGCTGGCTAAATGGAATGCCCCACAATTTTGATAAAAATGGTAGTAGTAGGCAAATGAATAGTGCCTGCAATAGACACGGACACAATCATAACAACATTCAATTCAGAACCACAATGAGAAAAGAATATTCGAAAGGCAAACCATAAATCTACATGGTGAAAACTCTTATCATTTTAACTCACTATAAGGAAACTACCTGAAAAGCAGATCCATAGGAATTTACAACAAATAGATCTACTGAACCACCCTGCAAAAATGCAAGAAGATGATGTTAGTTTGTTCACACTCAGTGGAATTTTCCAGTTTATTATTATTTTTTTGTTCAGTTTAATTAAGCAGCATGACATAGGTAACTATATAAATGTAACTACCATACCTTTAATTGCTGAGCAGCATCCAAAAAGATTATTTCCTACAAATGATAAGAGCACTACCTATTAAATAAATGTGACTCAAGAAATTTAAGAATGATCACTTTTCAGATGGAATGGCAACAACCTTTAGCACCATGTCAGCTGCTTGAAACAGAAAAGAAAGTATCATTAAAAGGCTCCAAAATATGCCTGCATCCTTCAATGAATTACCAGCACCAGAACCACTGCAGAGAATAACATTTTTTTAGAGAACATAGGCAATTAATCCATTTAAATGGCATGTGTAGGAGGAATCATTAAAACATTTCTTCTGACAAAAGGATTTTAGTTGGCAAGCTAAGCTGCAACAGATATAACCAACTGCAGCATGCTAAAGTTGAAGCCAAAAGAACAAACCAAATACTTTTACGGTGGCTAGGCATGCAAAGGACCAAGAATGTTGATTACAACAGAGCTATTTCTATCATTTTAGTTCTACTGCTCTCAAAAATGTTCAATGTGAAACGTAAAAAATTCTTTTAATAACCCTAAACTTCAAAGAAGTTTGAAGCCCATCTTTCTTTGAACCAACTTTGCTTGCCATGCCACTAGACCAACATACCTCTACTAATTTATGGGGATTTAGGGTAAATAAAGAAAAAAAAAAACAAATATCTTTGGATTGGACTTTGAAGTATAGCCCTATCTAAAAATCATGCCAACAGGTTCTCAAATATCTAAGATTATAATTGAAGATAGTTACAAGTTACCTTGCTACAGTGATGATTACACCAGCAGTGACAAGAAAGCATCCCAAAAGTTGATTTACTTTATATCTCCTCCCAAGAAAAATGATGGACAGGAGAATTTGCCACACAAGAAAGGTCTGCAGAGTTTAAGGATCAAATTAACATCCCACACTTATGCGTAAGCATGACAATGGTCTAAGATGCGCAGGCATATAACTAAATATGAAAGACAGAGCATTAGTGATGAAAGTGCAATAAACATTAGACATAAAGGAGTTTAAATGCTTCTAACCTGAGACAAAATAGGAATGGATGCCCCGGAAAGAATTGCTGAAAGAAGTTGAGAGACATAAATCATAATCCAATAAAATGAAAAACTTATAGTGAACATAAAGTATATAGTATACTCAAAAGTGCCAGCAGACTCCAATTATCCAATTACTACTACATGAATAAGAAGAAACCAGTCAATTGAAAAAGAACCTTTCAATATTTGGCACTTGTTAATCAAATACATAAATCAGCAGTTAAACAGACTCAACAAATTAAGAGATCCATTCAGGGAATGTGAATGACATGAACCTCCAATTATATGGGAATTTGCCATGAAAAATCATTTGAAAACATACAAATGCAGCTTACATATATGGCAGTCACAGATATCCCCATGTGCATAATACTGATATACATTACCTCCAGCAGCCATCCCAGTTGCAGCAGCAAGAGCCTCCAGAAGGCCAACAGCAAGAAATGGAGCCTTTGGCATGGACAGCATATCATCCGTAACAATACCGGCATGGTACCGAAGATACAATATGGAAAAGTATACAATTACATACCTGCAAAGTCCCTTTGATTCATTCAGAAAATGAATAATAACAGCAAAAAAAGAAAAAAAAAATTGCATTTAAGAATTAAGAATTAAGAATTAAGAATTAGATGGGTGTGACATTAGTGGAAGGAAAAGCATGTTACTGGACCACAATCCACAAATAATTGGTGGCACGTGGATTTGTCATGAATAACAGTGAAAGACAAAAGCCATTAGGATTCTAAAAGGATGTCTACGTGTGGCGATGAAACGCAGCCTTTTTTTTCAAATCTTTCTTTTCTTTTTTGCGTCCTTTGATTCTATTCAATTTGGACCCGCCACCTTTCATTTCCATTTTTCAATTCCGTTTTCGTAGAAGGAACTCTCAACATGGTGCATAAGCACAAGTGCACAACCCATCTGTAGGCCCACACTGATACTGCTTTAAACTAGAGATTAGACATAGCATGATTGCTCCATTACTATATTATTATCACTAGAAAAAAATTCCATAATCATTGCTTTTTAAGAGAATATTACACTAATTACTTCAACCCAGAAATGTTAAAGCAGAGGGGACCAGGCCCGGAAAAAACATAATATAAGGTATAAACTGAGTCCAAGCAAACATTTTTCTTTTTCTTTCCCCACCTATTATTTAGTACTGAATATAAAATCCAAAGTATTATAAATAAGAAAAAGTGTAACATATTATATTAATTATTAATAAAGTAAAATCTCTTAATATTAAAATTTTCTTTCATTTAATAATTTATATTTTATAATTTATTATAATTAAACTATAAAACAAAATTCTCATATTTTTACAGAGACCGTCAATAGAGGGGTGGGGACTGACTGGGACGCGGCAACAATGGACGAACGCAAATTGTCATACACATTGGCCATTTGTGAACTTGTGATAGTGGTAAAAGCCCACAGACTCTAAATCTTGGATCCAGACAATTCAGTCTTTTTCATGCTATTATTCAATTCTCTGCAAAAACTAATTTCATATTTTTTTTTCCTACAGCATTTTTTTTTTAAATTTTAAAAAAATTCTCTCAAATATACTTTTCAAAAAAAGAAGCTATTGAAAACGAAAATAAAAACATACTTTCCATATGCACAATATTTAAAATGTTATTTTTACTTTTTACCATTATTTCTATGAGAGTATTGATTTATAATTTGAATTATTTTGAATTATAATATAAAATCTTTAAATAAAAGAAGACTCTTGATATTAGGAAATTTTCTATTTAAATATTAATATTTTATAATTTAAAGGTTAAATTTTTAATTTGGTCCCTCAACTATTATACAAACATCTAACTTAGTCCCTAAAGTAAAAAAATCTATAATTTGATCTGTATTATTTACCAATTTGACTTTAAATTAATCATTCCTTTAAAAGACAATTGACGTGACCGTTATTTAATGGCAAAAAACCATTACTTAACAGCCATATATCATGTTAATAATAAAACATATTATCTATTTTTATACAAAAAAACCAAATTAAGATTAAATTAATAAACAGTAAAGATCAAATTAGAAATTTTTTTACTTTAAGAATCAAATTAAGGGTTTATAAAATAGTTGAGTGACCAAATTAAGGATTTAACTTAATTTAAAATAATTTATACAATAAAACATTCTTTTGTATTATTAGTAATATACACTTTTCTATTAGTAATATATTTACTTCTCTTAGTTTCGATTAATGAAATAGGATAAAAAAGCATTTGCTGACGTGGAAACGGAAAACATGCATCTGGAAATCCTAAAACGGAGGAAAAAAATTAAGAGAGCAAAAACGGCGCGGAGAGTACCCGAATGTAGCAAGCTGAGCGAGGAAGAAGGGATAATGCTTCAGAGGAACGAGAGCCAGTTTATAAAGCACGCGATTCCCTACTCCCAGCACCATCGTAGCCGTAGCCGCAATCGCCACTTCCACCGTCCGATTTCTCTCTCTCGTCCTGCTATCCATCTCTTCCACACTCCGATCAACGACTCTCCGATCCTCGAGTGAGTAAGAGCACGCTCCCGCCTTCTTCGCCACATCTCCGCCATCCGATCTCCCTACCGCTTTTACCACCAGGAGTCTGGAGACTCTGGACCGTGCTGTTAACCGCAGAACGATTCCTGACCGTTGATTTGGGTTGAAGAAATGGAACGATGAAATTTGGCGCTCTGGTCTCAGTTTAGGGAGTTGAAATGGAGTTTGCAGTGCCGCGGGAGTGGCTGCTAACCGGCGGTAACAGGAAGTCATGTCGTCAAATTTTTGGGGAAAAGACCTGGAGATGATGATTTAAATGAGGGAGAGAATCGCAGAGTGAATGTTGTGTTGGTTTTTGAGAAATGCCTTTGTACTCTTTCAATACATATATAAGAAATTCTGCCCATGAACCTTACCTCTTAAAAGGTAAAATCATCCAAAATTATATTAATTTAATAAATTTTTATTGAAAAAATTAAATTATTTTATTTTTAAAATATGTATTTAAAGTGATTTTTTTTTTAAAACAAAATAAACAAACACTAACTCAGATATATACACAGTTGTCAAACCCAATTTATTCTCATTTATTTTATAAGTACGGTTTTTTTTTATTGATCTCTCAATATTTACTAACTTTGTTATATATTTAATAATTTAAAATTGAATTATATCAAATTCATTAAAGAAAATTTTTTAGAGTTTATTTCTTTGTTTATAAAATTTAAATTCAAGATTTTATTTAAAAGGAAACGAAATACTCCTACTCGATCGAACAAGCTCGCTAGCTTTTCTGTAAGTATAATTGGTAAAATCATAAGTTAAGCTCCTAAACTAACTCCAGAATTACTATTAAACCCCTAAACTTTAATTGATGCAATTAAGCCTTTGAACTCTGGGATCAAAGCAATTAAGCCTTTCTTCTTACACTATTAAGCCCTTCTTCTTACACTATTAAGCCCCTAGACTTTAATTTTTAAAATAAATTGCTTAAGAAAAAGGGCTTAATTGCTTTGATCCCAGAGTTTAAGAGCTTAACTGCATCAATTAAAGTCTAGGGGTTTAATAGCAATTCTGGGGTTAGTTCAGGGGCTTAACTTATGGTTTTGCCAATATAATTTAAGGTCAGGAGTAGAGAATTTCGATACAAACACTATAAAATTTAATTATTATTAAAATATTAAATATACTTAAAAAATTTTACTTTTGTAGGAATAGTCTTTTTATATGTTTGTAAACATTCTCACCTTTGTGATTTATTATTAATTAATTAAACTAATCATGATCAGTTGTATTTTTTTCTTTCATAAAAATGAATAATGAGTCGCAATGATAACTCTTTTTTTTTTATCACTAATTCGAATAAATTTGTTTAATGACATTATTTTAGTAGGAAATTTTTTAATATGTGTACTTAAAATATAATAGAAAAGAATATTTATT